AATAAAAAAGTTTTATTAGTAGCATATATCAATTTTAGATGAAAATTTTAATATACTATACATAACTATATAAAAATGATCTACGTGCCCCCTACCCTTAAAAATTTATATAAACACTTTCAAATTATACAAATTTTTCTAAAAATAGAATTCTTAAAATTACAATCAAAAACAGTAATCACTTTAAACAACTTTCTTCAAATCTGAAAACAGGACCCCACATCTCAAATTACTTAGATATATCATTTTAAAATATTATTTTTTGAAGTGATAAAGAACCAGAAAAAGTTATTAACTTAAGCTCCATAATAAAAGCTTTTGTAAAATTCAATATTAATGAATTTTTACAATTAGAGAAAATACAATTTTCTCTAATTGAAACTTCACTTAATAAAGTAATCATAGAGTTAGAAAGTAATAATACTAACCACCTAACTCAAATAATAAATGATTTGAAACAAACACCAGTATCTATGACTTGAAGTATAACTAACTTTTTTTCTAGAGAAACACAAAAAGAGCAAGTTAATCAAATCTTAAAGTTCTTATTTACTTCTGGATATATTCAACATAACCTTAACAAAAAATTGAAGCTTACTATTATTTAGGACAAACAATTTTTAAGTCTAATAATCTTTCGGAGATTAAAGACCTTATTCAGAATACTCATATAACAAAAAAAGTAAAGGATACTTAAAAAAATGTTTTTAGAATATATAAAGTCCTCAAATTATAACCAAAAAAAATAATCTTGCAATTGAAGTATATGACCACAATACATATTATCAAGTTGCTAGATGATGAGTATACTCAACTCCTTGAATTGATTAGAACATAGAATTTACAAAATAAATTTTTAAAGAAGATAAAAATATTATAGAACAAATTATTATTATTTTATTATTATTATTATTTTATTATTATATTATTATTGTTATTTAATATTAGTTATTTTATTATTGTATTATTATTATTACTAATAGTTGCTAGAACTTTTTAGTTACTTAGTAATTACTTAGTCACTTAGTCATTTAGTCACTTAGCCACTTAGTCACTTAGTCACTTAGTCACTTAGTCGCTTAGTTACTTAGTAATTAGTTACTTAGTAATTATTAATTATTAGTTGCTAGAACATTTTAGTCACTTAGTAATTGCTTAATTGCTTAGTCACTTAGTCACTTAGTTACCTAGTTGTAGGGGCCTGCAAATTGCCTATTTTTGAGGCCTGGCCTGGCCCGCAATTAGGATTAAAAATTTTTTTTAGGCCCGGCCCGGTTCGCAAAAATTTCTTATATAAATTTACAAATTTTTAATCCCGCACTGGCCCGCAATTATAAAATTTTGCAAATTTTTTGGCCTGGCCCAGTCCGCAATTATAAAATTTTGCTTCAGGCCTGGTCAGGCTGGGCTGTAGGACCCAATGCAAGCCTCTACCTAGTTGCTTAATTGCTTAGTCACTTAACCACTTAGCCATTTAGTTCATAGATATATAAACCCTGCTAAATTCCTTAAGTGTGATTAAGCAACAGACACCCTTCTTTTCTTTAATATTGTAAACATATCTTGGGATTCTTTAAAAATAGAAACCTAAGGATAACCCTTCTTGTTATTACTTTAATAAACAACTTTTTACTATAAACTGTATTGATACTCCCCCTTTAGGGTAATTCTTACAGGCAAGGTTTATCTTCTTTTAATAAAATAAAATAAAGTTATTAGTATTGCATTACCTTTCTTGAACTGTCTCAGAGAAAAATATAGTTTCTTGAGAATGTCTAATAGAAACTATACTTCCCTCTTGAACACTGCATATATCTATAAGAGATTCCCTGTGCTGTGTTATTGTTATAGTATAAAAATTAAGAAGGCTTCCACCTATAACAACAGTAATAGTAATAATATATCTTCTTTTATTATTACTAGTAGAAAATCAAGTTGTTTATGTCTTTAATGTAGTTTTTCTAATTACTATCATGTTATGTATAATTGTATTTATTAAAACTTTCTTAAAGAAGTTATGCAAGAAAACTTTTCCTTATTAGTTAGAAAAACATTCCTTATTGTCACTGTTTTGACTTATTGCTTTTTTCATTATTTTAGTTTTGTTGTCTTTCTGTTGTGCACAAATACATGTTGGTTCAAAACATTATAATTATTTAATATTGACGTCAGGCCCTATACAATTTAGTTTTTTATTTTATTTATTTTGGTAATGTATAAAAAAGAGTTTTTTAATTCTAATTACTATATAGTATAAAATATTAAGATTTAATTATATTCAATTTTGATTGTTTTAATATTGTTAATTTGTTCAAACTAAGTGACCAAAACTGATAATTTAAAAATAAAAACCATATTAAATTTTTTCTAAAACTTAAGCAAGATATCTTAACAACTATCTAATAGGTGGTTGCTGGGATATCTTTACTCAAACTTTTAGAAAAAAATTTAATATAGTTTCTATTTTGACATTTTTAAAGAAAGCTTTGAGCGATGATATCGCAGCAACCATCTGATCAAATTCGATGAATTTTTTTATATTTGAATTCAATAGATAAATAAATTCAAATTAAAAAAATCATCGAATTTAATCAGATGGTTGTCGAGAAATCGCATACAAATTGATTAAAGTTACATCAAAATGTAAACAGCGATAATTGAATATTGGGAACCCTACAACAAGAGAGCAATGGGACATTTCAGTTTTATATAAATTTTCATTGTAATTTTGTATCTACTGATTTTAATCTTTAAACTATAAAAATATTTGCTTGTTTATAATCTAAACAAGAAATATTTTTAGGTTAAGATCAGTAGATATAAAATTATAATAAAATCTTTACATAAAACTGAAATGTCACATTGCTTCTTTACTGTAGGGATTCCAAATATTTATTCTGCAAATCGATTTTGTTGTCTAAAAGTCTAACATTAAATTTGTCTTTCTGATTTTATTATAGACATAGAATGTAATCCATGCTTGAAGGATTAGATGAACTGGTTTCGCAGTTAAATGCTAGTCGTGATTTCTTTCCATTTCTTAAGAAATGAAGCATGGATTTCGTAAATACGTAAAAGCAAACACAAAAACTAATCATATTCTTTTTCAATGACTGTAAATGAATACTAAAGCATATTGCTTAGCATTACACATATATAATAACGATACCTAGATGTGAATCAAATCAAATAGAGTTTTATAAATGATGAATTGATTTTAATCTCAATTGAAGGATTATAATTGTAAATAACGATATTACGGTGATGGTTAACTGCCTTAATAATTGTCACGATTGAAACTGAAAATAAGGACCTCGATTTAAAAATATAAACTACCAAAATCCACTTTATATCAATTTTTTTTATATCAAAACTATCCCTGCCTCCGAAAAAATTTTGAAAAAATTTCCAATAAAAATATCTAAAAATTCCAGCCTAAGCTGTGACAATAATCAACTTATTCATGCTAATTTATTGTCTTTATTATTGGTTTAAAAATATCGCAAGCTTACAAAGTACGTGGTACTTCCTTCACGACTATACTATGAATCACATCCCCTTCTTTAAAGTCTGTAAATCCCTCAAATGATATACCACATTCTAATCCTTTCTTTGCTTCTGTAACATCTTTTTTTAGGTGTTTTAATGATTCTAATGGACCTATTTTTATTATTTTTCAAATAGAAGCTCAGTTACATAGATCAACTCTCAAATCATTATAATTTCAGTAATAAACTTACCTTCCCACATTTGTTTGTTATTTCTTATTATTCTCACTTTTTGACTCTTAAAAATTGTTCCATTTACAATCCTACAACCAGCTACTGGCCTAAATTCTCTATTTTTAACATTGATCTGAAAAACCTGTAATATTGTTGCTTCACCTGTGATAATTGATTCCAATACAGGTGGCAACATCTTACTTAACTTGTCTTTTATACCATCCAGAAGTTTATAAATAATATTGTAGCACATTATTTCAACATGCTCTGTTTGAGCTAAAGAACTTGCTCTCTTGTCAACCTTAACATTGAACCCTAATATTGCTCCTGAAACAAGAATGAGTTGTTATAATTTGGAATAAAAATTTCTAATATAGACATGCACATTCATACCCTGTGCAGCCGCAGCCATTTGAACGTCCGACTCGTTAACATCACCCACTCCGAAATCTACCACATTCACGCGAACCTCTTTGTTCCCAATAAAATCTACAGAATCGATGATAGCTTCAATTGATCCACTTACATCACCTAAAAACATTTATTAATTAATGACCAAATATAAATTACAATTTAATAATGAAAATTACCTTTAACAACCAATCTTAATTCTTTTATCTGGTTTTCATCAAGCTTTACTTCCGTGTTCGAAGATGGAGGCAACGGCATAGTAGGGTATTCTTTAAGCATCCCACGATGAAACATCCATACTTTCCTTTTGAAATCTCTGATCGCAGCTTGATCAACTTCCAGCTCCTTCTTACGCTGTCTCCTCTTTTCATTAATAATTTCTAGATCTTTCATCTGCTTTTCACGTTCTAACTTTCTCAGTCGATTAGCAACTACAGTTTTAGCAAGTTCCTATAAGAATGAAATATCATTTTAATTTATGTAGCTTGTGATTTTAATTTAACCTCATGCACCAACAACTACTTCATCTTTAGCCTGAAGGACTTCATCACCAGAATTTGGTGTTTCTCTCCAACCCATGACTTTTACAGGAGTGCCAGGTGGTGCTTGCTTAAGTGATTGCCCTTTATCGTCGTTCATCATTCGAACTTTACACCAACTAGTGCCTGCCACAATAACTTCACTTTGCTTTAAGGTTCCGCGTTTAACCAATACTGTCGCAACATTACTGATAGACAATTAAGTGCAAATTAATAAATAAATCACAGGGCTCTTAAATGTCTTAGTTGGCTTACCCTTTGCCTTTTTCTATTTGTGATTCAATAATAACACCTTCTGCTTCAATATCAACTTCAGCACGATAATCATTTAATTCGGCTAATGTTATGATAGCTTCTTCTAATGTATCCAACCCTTTTCCCTGAATCAATACGTTTCTTAATCATAAAAAACAAAAAAATAGTAATAAATGAAACGTATTCTAATTTGAAGTAAATACTCACAGTTAAGGCAGAAATTTCAACACATTGAATATCACCTCCAAACTCTTCAAGTTCTATACCATACCTCATGAGAGAATCACGTACTTTTCTCTATACAATATTTATTTATATCAAACGCTATCACACGTAAAGTACAGAATTTACGTATTCACATGTCTACATACTGCATCTGCATCATGTTTATCAATCTTGTTAATCGCTACAATTATGGGCACTAGTTGCAATGAATATTAATAACAAAATCAATTAATACACCAGAATAGAGAAAAATACATATAGTTGACTCTCTAAGTGTAACTTGAAATTTTATATACATATAAGTTGAATTTAAAGACATAGAATTTGTATTGTTCAATATACTTGGAACAAAAAAAGGCCTTGCATTTAGAGAAAATCTTATTGAGAGCTGCACTTATAGAGAATTAACTATATATATACACTTTGATCCAAAGTTTACCTCCAGCATCCTTAGCATGCTTTATTGCTTCTAACGTTTGTGGCATCACACCATCATCAGCTGCAACAACAAGGACAACAATATCAGTTACGTGAGCGCCTCTAGAACGCATAGCGGAAAATGCAGCATGACCAGGAGTGTCAAGAAATGTAATGGTTTTTTGTGATGGTAATGAAACTATTAAAAATATTTACAAACTAAATAAATAATGAAAAAATATGTAACTTTCATGAAATCAGTAATCTGTAGTCAGGTACCAGAAAAAGCACCAATGTGCTGAGTTATTCCGCCAAATTCACTAGCTGCTACAGATGTTTTCCGCAAAGCATCTAGCAATGTTGTTTTTCCTGTTAAAAGTAAAAGAAATTAGTAAAATCACACTAAAATATATAATTTGACTATATAACATTACATAATGTATGGATACCGTGATCGACATGCCCCATAATAGTCACTATTGGTGGTCGAAGTGGATATATAGACATGTCTTTTGGCATGGATCTTAAATTTATTTAAAAACGGATAATCTTATTAAATACTATCAAAATATGAGAAATCAAACAACTCCGTGTACTACTTTGGAAAAAGGTCAATTGCAGCAACCGAATCAACTATGGGATTCAGATCATATTCCATCGCAATTAGTGATGCTTCTTCGGAATTAAGCACTGAATCATACGTCAAAGGTAAATATCATGTATATTATAAACAAATGACTTTAAATTTCAACGCATAATTAGACCCTACGATGATCATGTGTCGTATATTCTATCCCAAGATCACGTAATTTTTGTTCAAATGGAGCTGGAATAAATAGAGTACAGTTTTAGCATTAAAATAAAAATGAAAAATTTTTGCAATAATATTCTTGGCTCACCCAACCGTACACCAATAATTTTTGCTAGATTTGAAACTGTGATAGCTTCGGGAATAAATACGTCCTTTTGGATCTTTTTGATTACATCCGTGAATTTTGGCTGTCTTTGCGTAAAATCGCTATCAACAACATCGAAAAGTTTTTTTGGATTTGCCCATTTATTTATATCTGTTTTTTTTTTTAAACGATTGAGCGCTTTTTCGATTCTAAAATTTTTATCTTCAGGATCCAAAGGAGTCAACAAATTAGAGTCTCTCTTAGGCATACGATTACGATTATATGTCAGAACGCGTGATGTAGTATGGAATAACGATGATACAGGGCGAAACTAGCTTGAAATATATGCGATAAATTGTGGCAACACAAACCCATTTCCAATAAAATAAAATAAAACTATGTAAAACCTTTCAAAAGAACAAGTTAACTTCATATATATGCATATATAGTGTTTGTAAAGAGTGTTTTTTTATTTGTGCTCACCCGAACTTTTAATAAAGATTTCAATGTTTGCGAAGAATCTCGCCAATTTGAGACTCTGCAAAAATTTTTTCTGAAATACATTCTAAAAAAAAAATATTCTAAAAAAAATATGATTCTATGTGATCAATTATTGCTTTATTAAGAACCTAAAACCGGATGATCTGCAGATGCGAACAAGTCTACACCACAAAAAATAATCTATCTAATCTTTCCTTTCTCAAGCCACAAATGACTGAAGGTATTCGTATAATTTTTCTATTTTTTTCAACTTACAAAATTCTTACACACTTACGTTATTGATAATATAGTTTGAAAAAATAAACACCATGATTGAGTTTTTAATCTTGTTTAAACTCTTTTTACATTTCTTAAAATCTCGTCCCAAGAATTGCAAAAAAATGACGCTTGACAAACATAGTACTATTCATTTTTCACGACATGAAATAAATTCCCTTCATGCGAGTAAACCTAAGTTCCTTCCGGAAAATGTTAAATGGGATGGAAATGTTGAGGTAGCAGATATTGATTGGAACGAGTCATTTATTAAGCCATCGACCGGACTTCCTACTTATCCTATCAATGTGATTGACTTCTCGGATGGCAAAATTCGTGAAAGAGATATTCAATGGCCAGATAACGATAATGCTTTTGATAACAATTTTCAGGAAACATATATCAAACATTCACCAAATTTGGAGGATGTTGTTGACTCGTCAAATGATATTGAATCACAACAAAATGTCGATCTTGAATCTTTACAGTGTTCAATATCTGATGTTGACACTACATCAAGCGCAATTATTGATCTGGCCCATCAAATTAAATCTATTGCCATCAACGATGATGATATAGAATTCAGTGAAATTTGCACACAAGAAGTATCCCATAATTCTATAAATGATGTATATGATTTATATGGTGGAATGAGTAACAGTGAATGTTCCGATCACTCTCCTGGATATTCAGAATCATGTGGAGATGAAAATGAAGCGTGTCAATGGGACAAATCTGGAGATATCGAAGCGCCTAATCAGATTAATCAAGCAGATGGCTGGTCAGAAAGTTCATATACGTTACAAACTAAATATGGACCTGATCAAAATCATTCCAAATTCAATGACATTCAGCATAGTTCTAAATCGAATGTCACTATTGCTAATTATATCCGACGTCGACGTCGTCCACGCAGCTATCTAGAACAACGTAAAGATCCAAGATATAATCCTGATACAAATCATTGGAAGAGTGAGGCGGACTATTTGTCATTTGATGGCCAAGAACGGATTGATCCTGAAAAACGAGAAAACGAAAAGTACGATGCTGTTATTCAAGCGGCATTGGACGCATGGGGAGCACATAAGGATGTAACTATGGACGTTTTTAAAACGAAGCCGACTAAGGATATAAAAAAGTCAAATGCTATAATATTTGAAGAGGACGACATAGTATCACCAACTATATTAAGTAATCAGAACTTACCGCCGAAAGAAACTCCTAAATCAAAGTCCCCAATCATGTCTCCTCAAACATGCCCAGTTGATTCATCATCATCTCAGTCAGTTGTCTTACATCAATACTCTCAGTCAAATACGATGTCATTGCCATTAGTATTTCATGAACAATCTTATGTATCTCCTCTCCTCCAAGCTTTATACAAAAGAAATATAGCTCAAGCCAATTCTGTTGCAAAATATCTTGATAGATTTAAGATTAATTTATCACCAATTCTTTCTGTTGAACTACCTGCTGATATTGAAATCGAAGTTACGCAGAATAGCAAGTGGCCAGCTTATTATGCAGATGTAGATAAAAATGAACGTCGCTATTCATGTGAAGAAACGATAAAGAAAGCTCTCCATCATATTATGCACTCAAGAGTAGCAATTATTAATGCAGCTCCTGGTAATACTTAATTTTAATAATTTTGAAAATTTTAATTATTTAAATATTAAATATATATATATTATTATTCATTACCATCTATTTATTTATTGACGGAACATATTATATACAATTCGTTTAGTTACATCTGAAGTTTTATTGGTTACGAAGGCTGTACAACTTTTATCTGAACCTCTGAGTCAAAGAACCATTATTGCCCCGATAATTGTCATAGCAAAGAGTTCCCTAACACTCGACAAACTATTGGTAGAACTCATCCCCATTTTCCCAAATTTAATTCGCGTTGGTTCAACTAAGCAATGTAGGAATCGTTCGCTTGCTGGAAGGCAAGTAGATAATCTTCAAAACGAAATCAGTACATTGTATAATCGACAAATAGAACATCTAAAAGATGCGAGAATTGATTTATTGAAAAGAATAAAAGAACGTTTTACCCTCATGTCAGATTATTACTTTCTTCAATCATCTCCAAGCCAGTTCAAAAAGCAATTATCGCGCCATAATAATCGAAAAACTAATTCTATATCGAGAAATGTTGAGCTGAAAGATTTAATGAATTGGCTGTCGAGTGATAATCCTCCAAAATTTGAAATTAAACAATCTACAACATTGTTTGAAGAATCTACTACTCATAGGCCTTTTAAATTTTCTATAAATAAAACACCTTTACGTGAAATTTTATCTTCGAACCTGGAGAATCTTTTTACTACCTCTTCGACCGATCTTTATTCAAAAATATCTTTACCTTTAATGTTTTCATCAATCGAAGAGCTGGAAAAGATTTTGTCATTTGATGATGATGATTCTAATGATATCGATAGCATTTACTCTCCAAACATTGAAGAATCACAATTTATTAACAACTTAATTAATCACCTGCCTCAAGATCAGAAGCTTCTGTTTAATAAACAAAACCAATCCGCAAATGTTCCAAATGATCTGAAAAATGACATTAATCAATTTTGGTGCCATGTTACTAAAGATATTTGGAAAATATCAATAGATGAACGTAAATTATATCGGCATATGTTTAATCGAATCGTATCTAACTATTACGATCCGATTATAACAAACATTTACACCAATGCCATCGAATTAAACAATACCATGGATGAGAAACGATTACAGAAACTATCTGAAGTCATGAAAGGCGCCCCGGTTATAGGTTTTTCTTGGAAGAACGCAAAATGCCTTAAAAAATTATTTCATGATTCTTCGCCTGCATCAACTCCTGTTTTTATAGTGGATGAAGCCTCAGAAATACCAGAAGATGAAATTTCTTGCATTATTAACGATCACGAAAATCTTGATCATTTAGTTATGATAGGTGATATGAATAGACGTTGTGGTAATTCTTTATTTGAGCGATGGATTTTAGATGGTGGTAGACATTATAGACTTTCAGAGCAAATTCGTGTACATCCACAAATAAACAATCTTTTGAGTACTTTTCATAAACGGATTGCAGATGATTTTCCATTTTTAAAAAACAATTCACAAATTACTGGTACTACATCTAACGTTTATTTTTTAAATCATCAGAACTATGATGAAGTTCCTGTTAGTGTATCAAAAAATATGATAAATACCATCGAAGCTGAATTTGTCACAAGATTTGCCTTCTATCTTCACCAGCAAGATGCTGATTTTGACCCCGGAAATATAACCATCCTCACTCCGTTTACTGCTCAAAGGGAGTTGATTAAAAGTTTATTAGCACCTGAACTTATAAAAGAGAAAACTGTAAAAATTCGTGAAATAATACCGAAGGAAGTAGGAATGCATAATTATGAACCTGAATTTGCTCAAAAAATAATTGTCACTGAAAAGAAATTAGGAAGGGTTATTGTTCAATTGATTGATGATTATCGCTATGAGGAAAATCAGATAGTTATTCTTTCTCTTGTTGCTGTTCCGCAACGATGGCAGAAAGAAGCATTAACGATATTGAGTACAAAGGACCTTGTATATACAGCTTTGTCTAGAGCAACTAGAGGCTTATACATTTTTGGAGACGGTGATACACTAAAAAATATTCCAATATGGGCCGACATCATCAAAAAAACTATTAACGGTATGTATCTAAATTTGTTATTTAAAATTGGTTAAATCCTTTATTTCTTTATATTACAACTTATAAACGATTGAATAATATATTATTTATATAGAAAGTGCCTATGGATCAGAGCTTGTCCTTAGTTGTCAAAATCACGGTGTTAAAACTAAAATTAGCCATCCTGATCATTTCAAGCAATATGTTCCTCTCGGTGGCTGTATGGTAAATATTCTGATATACGGGGGTGAGTCAATAGAAACCAAGCAAATCAAGGTTTGGTTTCTAAACTTTAATTTGATAACCTATCCAACTTAATAACTTGAAACTTTTTAATTTTTACAAGCAAGTAGAATTCAAAAATTTCCTAAATTGCTCAGGTTCTTTGCTTAAAGTTTAGAAACCAAAATGTGATTTGCTTGATTTTCATTAGTTCGCCACCATATATATATACATGGTCTACTATTAATTCTTAAATATGTTTATAATTCAGATGCCCTGTGAAAAAATGTTACTATGCGGTCATAAATGTCCACGAAAGTGTCATCCAATTCCGCATTCTCAAGAACGTGATCGTTTCAAGTGTGAAGAGAAATGTCATAGGAAACCAGAAGTCCAGATAGGGAATTGTAACAAAAAACAATCTCGTCAAGATTTAATTTATGAATGTACACATCCTTGTGAACGCAAATGTCACGAATGTTATGAAGAAGGTAGTTGTGGTATCTGCGAAAAAGAGATCGATCATAAGTTTGATGGTTGTTGCCATAAAACTACTATTAAATGTCATGAGAGACGGTACAGGAAATGTGAAGATGAAACAAATGTTAAGTTGAAATGTGGACATATCGAAAAAGTACCTTGTCATAAGCGACTTAATGTGGATGAGTATAAATGCACAATGCCTAAAGATGTCGAAATTCCAACATGCGGACATTTTGTTCGCGTTGGTTGTTTTGTAACGAATCCGGAGTGTATAAAGCGTTGCGGTTACATATTACCCTGTGGTCATAAATGCGAAGAAAGATGCGCGGCGCACAAAAATTATATTCATAGAAGAAGTGATTGTAAACGTGAATGCCCCAAGACTCTTGTTTGTGGGCATAAATGTATTAATGGGTGCGCAGAACCGGATCAACATTCCTCTTCATGTATGGAAGAGTGCACCTTCCAATGTTTACATGGTATTGGATGTCCATTTCAATGTAATGAACCATGTTTCGAATGTTTGGAGAATTGTCCGTTGACGTGTAAACACACCAAATGCACTAAACGATGTTGGGAAGATTGTGATCGACCTCCATGTAATAAACCATGCACTGAAACCCTGAAATGCGGGTAAGGAAAAAATAATTATGATGTTTAAACTTTAAATATTCTCAGCTTATTTATTATTATATGTTTACCATTTTAGACACAGTTGTAATGGACTTTGTGGAGAACCATGTCCTCCCTGTAAAAGGTGCTATCCTAATATTGAATGTCCTATAACTTTAACAAAAATCGGAGAATTTTCTGATGAAGAACGGTGCTATATGCTTCCTGAGTGTCATTGTGGTAAATAGTTATTTTACCATTTTATCGAGTTTAAAATTAGTGACAAACTAAATAGTTAACATTAATATTCGCATACAATTAGTCTTTATGGTTGAAGCTTTAGATCAATATTTCAATGAAAAACCATCAGTTAGTAAGTATAATGTTCTGTTTAATGATATCATATTAAAGCTTTGCACAGAGCGAACGATGTCAATAGAAATATCTGTAATTTGCATTCTTATGCATTATTATGCAATCGGTAGATTTTCATTTTACGGGATTCAATTTCCTAACAACTTGTTAAATGTTAAATAACTATATATGAAATTGAATAATATAATGTGAAAACCTACCGAACGCACGAGAACGGGTATCACTTTTCTCAGCATTACTTAAACTATAAAATATTCAAATTAATTAATTTAAACATCTAGATGGACACCTGGTAATTAAGTTGTGGGACTGTCCACGTTGCAAAAAACTAGTTTACACAGCTGGAAGGTATAGCAAGTTTATAAAGGAAGCTGTACGTATGTGGAATGTTGTCAAATCACAACAAAAGCAAAATGAGCTTACAGAAGAAGAAAAAGAACAAATTATTCAGGCGATGGATAATGAGATTCAAGAACTTTACGGAGATGGGGATCACGTTACGGGTCATTGGTTTTGTTGTCCCAATGGTCATCCTTATTATATTGGTATGTTAGACCTCAAAAAAAAAAGTCATATCAATTTATCTTTATAAATCTCAATTATTAATTAATTTTTAGGTGAGTGCGGGGGAGCTACTCAACGATCAGTTTGTAATGATTGTGGTGCAATAATTGGTGGTACAGGGCATATAGTTGTTCCTTCGAATTCTTTCTACGGAGAATTTGATGGAAGTGCCGCACCGGCATATCCTGGACAACCAGGAAGGCAACCAAATCGAGAAGTTGTTTGAAGCGGAGATAGATAACATAGATTGATAATTGACTGATGGTTTTCAACTAATCAAGATTAAAATTTTAATATTAAACGATTTTTTTTAAGGAACTTGTTTAATATTTTTATTATTTATAACTGATATTGTAAATAAATAAACTATAACATTGTAAAAACAATCCCGATACTAGAGAAATATATATATAATATAAAAACTGTGTTAAGCATTAAAAGAATGTAAAAAAAATTTAAATATCTATAAAAATAAAAAAATTTTTATAGTGCACCATGGTGTTAGATTTTTGTAGCCAATTAAAATTTAAGATCGGGCGTAACATGTAGCTGTATAAATTTCAAAATTTTTAATGTACTCTAGCAAAAAACTTTTAGTAGACTATATGCCTTGTTTAACTCTGATTTTGGCTTTAATCTAACCCTAATTAATGACCTTTTTTTTGTACAAAAATAAGTATTTGGATTTGTATATTACATCTATCTTGTATTTACATATGGGACTCCTCACAGCAAAAGGGTGCAATGAGGAAATCAGATGATCGTGAGAATATCTTAATTTAAAATTAACATGTGATTTGCAATCAAATTTTACGAAATTTTCAACTTATCATGTTATAACGATAATCTAATTTTTTCTGTTAGTAAAGGTAAAAATTTTTAAGAATATATTGATGATTCTTTTTTTTTATAATATGCAAAGCCTAAGTTTATATCTTTTTTAAACAAATTGGTTTTCACATTTTGTATAACTTCTTGTGTTTTGTATAGTTATATTCGTTATCTGATTTTCTTTTATTTCTGAGGGTTTATTTTACATATTCTGTATTTATTTTTTTAATTGACTTTTTTTTTGTGCTTTTTACATATAAAGAATCTTTAATTAATATTTATTTTATTTATGTTAGGATTAAGTACCGGGTACAGCATTATTAAAAAATAGTGTTTATACTTACACTTAGAACTGTGTTTAATGGTAACTATAACAAGTATATGTAAGATTTTATAGGTAAACTTAGGATAAACTAAATTTGGTTTATATTATTATTTATATAAATTAAGTCTTTTTTTTTTAATATTAACGATGAATTAAGTTATTTTTGCTAAGTTTGATATAAGCAATTTATTTATATATATTAACAAAACTGAGAATTTTTAATTTATATTATTTTAAAATTTTATATTTAAAATACTCTTTTCTGAAAATCTTGATTTTATAGCAAATTTGGGAAAACAAAAAATTTTTTTTGAAAAAGCTAAACCAAAACATATTTTAACTAATTAACTAAATATTAGCATTAACAATTAGCATAGCATAAACTTTAACAGAATTAAATGAAGTTACAAGAAAGTTTTTTGCATTTCAGTCTTCTTTTTATCACTATTGCTGACTAAGTTGGCAACTAGAATCAATATTAGTAAAGATAACAATAAGACTCAAGACAAATATTTCAAACAGTATACACAAATATGATTTATTCAAGAAACTATAAATAAACAGAACAACAAGAAAAAGCACAAAACTAACAACAAAATTGTTATCTTTATACAAGCAAGCAATAAAAAAAATACTAATGAAAAAAAAATTAAAAAAAATAAAGATCCTAGCATATTCCCAAAAATTTAGCAATGACATCATTACATATAATAATAACAACTACAATCTCAAATCTTCTCATGAACAATCAAACTAAGCAAGACCTAATTCAGAACCCAAACAATATAGATGTTGTTTCCTTTTTGTCAATACAGATAAAAAAAATAAACAACTCAGCTCTATCTAACCAAATGTCTCAGTTTAACTCAGATATTAGTACAATAGAACAACAATCCAATATGGAAGTAGAGAACATATTAACAAACATAGAGGATGATAACAATGAAGAAACTTGATCAATTGATATAATACTTGAAAAACAGTTACAAAAAAAAATATTGTATAGTCAAACACTAGTTAAAAACCTTCTAAAGAGAACTAGAAGAACTCTAAACCCTTATTTTAAAGCTGATAAAGAAAAAGAATAGAAAAAACATACACAGATAGCTTTAAAAAAAATTAGACAAAAAAAACTAGAATTATTTGATGCAACAATTTGAACATGATAAAAAACTAAGAATACACTAATCTCATTTCAAAACTTGAAAGAACTAATTAGATACAAGTTGTCAACAAAACCAACTACTATTCATATCCTAACAACAATAAAAGCAAACTTCTTTCATAAAGACACAATCTTCTTTAGAAGCTTTATTCAAGTTTTAGTATTTAGACTACAACACCAAAATGAATTCAATAGCTTATTTTCTAAAGCATTAAATGCATATAAAAAACAGCATAATATATTAATTACTAATAAAAAAAACCAGGACCAAATTTTTGAATTGTTGTATACAAAACTGGCACTAGATTACTTAACTAATCTGAACTTTAATCTTTTAGATACTTGAGAAATCACAAAATATATATATATATATATTTTTTAAATATTAAGGTAAGTACTTGTGACCCAGGATTTTATTGATAGTATATTTGGCTAATGATTGCTTTACAACCACAGGAGGCAACCATGAAGAAAGTGTACAACTAACCATTTATACAACTTTAGTCATTGTCTAATTTAAGTAGTCCACCTGAAGGTTCTACACTAGCTGCCATACCTGGAACCCACTTGTAGATTTCCTATTTAACCACTCTGTTTTTGTATCTACTCACTTACCTCTGCCTACCAACGACCTTGACCGATGCTGATGAAAATATGTCATGGCTACTAAGTTTTTAAAGCAGTTCTTTGGAACCTTTGACCTTGTACTAAACCTTCCAGAATCTTCTGTATCCCATTCTTACAGCTGACCTAGTATCGCTATAGCTGAGACCAACATTGGCAGTCAGAGTATATCATTAAACTACTATGCCCTTGTAGAGTTTACTCCAACCCCAGTACTTACTTTACAATATATCTTTACTACTTTGATTTTCAATTCAAGTTCCACCAAGTTGCCATTCCAGATAGTTCAGAAAGGTAGAGTAAGACCATACTTCTAGTTTACATATTTGCCAGCATGTATCTTTTTTCTCCAGAACTCAGAAATTCCGGTGGCCTGATTGGTTCATCTGGTCTCTTCTCAAAGACTGGCACATTTGCCCAGTTTCACAAGTTCTAGCTCCATTTTATAAGTCTAGTCTTTAAAGTAGTACCGTTGAATGCTTGGGTTACCTCTCTATTCGGGTCTTCTAAGTAGGCTTTCATCTTTCTTCTATTGGTTTATATGATTTACATGGCCATAAGAACTTATTGTAGGTTTGCACTGCCTGGTACTGGTTTGCATTCCTTTATGTAACCACAGACCTAGTCTCAAAGGACAATGTTATGTGACTGTTACACAAATGCCATGTGACCTGCCAGTTATTCTGGTGTGACATAGATTACAGGTGTCTTATCCCAACTAATTGCAAGAGACAGTTAACTATAACATAGCTAGGATTTTCAAATTTTCTGTCAACATTGAAATTTGAACTCTGGATCTGCTACTTGGGGATGACAACCTAACCACTTCACTAGGTTACCACACCTCTATAAAATATATTTTTTACTTAACTGGCTTTGTAAAAATTTAACAAAATCTAGACTTTGAAACAACAAGAAAGGTTATTCTAGAAATAATAAATAAAATGCTAATTCTCTTACCTAACAGACCAGAGCTCATTCTAGACCATTTGTCTTAAGCTATTCTCTTTGACTTACCTATCACAAGCTGACAGGTTCTTATACTAGCAGTTAGAACACTGTATTTAATATTCTTATTCAATAAGCTACTAGATGAATATATCACAGACAATCATGAAAATTTACTAGCTTTATATAAAAACTTAAGAAATGAAGTACAACACTTCTTTCCTATTGTAGACAGAGCTGAGCTGAAAAAGCTAGCTTACTATAGAGAGACCTTACAAAAATATTATATTTTTCAGCAAATTTTAGCTAAATACTTTGATTTACTAGCACCAAAATGCCTCTTGCCTTCTATTTTACAAGACCTAACATTCAGATTAAGAAAGAGATTCACTTTTTTACCTGAAAGTCAAGATGATTTTAAGAAACATATCAGATTACTACACATGAACTATTTCTTTACCAAACTACCTAATGACTATATTATCACTCAAAGATGACTACCTTTAGATCCAACAAATTTAAAAATATTCAATTTAACATTTCCTTTACAAAACACAGAAGAAGTAAATGCTTTTATCAAGTGTGTTTTGTAATTTACAATATTCCATCACTATTGCCACAAGCCTATTACAACTTCAATTACACAGATCATCCAAATTTGCCTGAAGATGCCAATTTAGTTATCTTGGTCAACCTAACTTTACCAATATCAACTTCTAAAGAGCTAAGCATAGTAGTCAAAGCATTACAAGAGCACTATTATTTTTATATCATACCTCAGTCTTGGATTCAGATAAAAAGAAAAAAAAGACAACTAGAGAATGAATCAGTTTTGTCCAAACTACCATCAATAGTAGAACAACTTTGTTTGATTCTTGAACAAAAACAAATTACAAATATACACATTTTAGTATAGAAGCATCATAATATTTAATTAGTTATAGAAACTCTTAGACAAAACTTCATCTATCACTCTTTACCAGAATACATTTTTGACCTCATTGACTTACCTGATCCATTTTTTGAAATTTTTGACTCATCAAAACAAATAATAACCACACATACACAAACATTAAACAGGGAAGAAGATGACAATATAGATTACTAATAAGTACAAGCTATCATATAAACAATCTGCTCTCAGCAGATAATGAGAATAAAACAAAAAAAATTAAACTAAATTTAAATGAAAAAATCAACATAACTACATACAACATTAAAGATATCAACAATATATTAAAAATATAAAACTGGATCAAACATTGTATAGAATCAAATTTACATATAATCTTTATAATAGAAACTAAACTAAAAGACTTAGCAGCAAAATCTT